TGAGCGTGAGAACGCGAAACCCGTGTCAAGAACAGGCCGCCCGAACTCGGCCTAACAGGTTGATCCATTAAGCCACCCTATGAACCTCGAGCTGGACCAAGAGAGGGCGCAAATTTCTTTGCAACTGAGTCTTTTTTTGTCAGAACTGAACTTCGCTAGTTCACGAACGACTATGACACGCACACTTTATGGTCGCAACGCTACCAACAAAATGAACAATCCCGACCAATATGGCTCTATTCAAGAGATGAGGGGGTGCTTCTGCTCGAGGCGGATTATAGGCCCTGCAAAAGTGTGTGTACGTGTGTGTGTGGGGGGGGTACCCATCGGCCCTATATCGTGCACGGCAACTTGTGCAGTAACGAAATTCGGATCCAGCGCCGCAGACGATTAATGTAATAATTATTCCACCTTCGTTCGAGCCTCTGAGGGCGTCCCACAATTAATGCGGCGAGGAGCTGCGTTACCCGTGAAGTTGTGCGCTAGCAAGAATGCGAGAAATGTCATCCAGTGGAGTGTTCTAAATGAAAAGAGAGGAAAAAAATAATATGACAGTTGATGTGATGAGCAATATATAGGTAAGCTCTTTGAGTAAACCATAAATAAAGAGCTCTAAACAAAAGATAAAGTCATGCACCTTCCATCCAGCAGATGTACTATATACTGGACTATACAGCAGATCAATATTTCCTGGTTTGAGAACATGTGTCAGAAGAGCAAATGGATAAAACTAAGCAAGTCCAATTCAAGCTATTTCTTTAGGCAATCATAAAAACCGTTTTATGAGGGGTTCTCCTGGAGCTTCCCAAGCGAGGGCGTAGATCCCGAGGGTGTATGCATGTCTCCCCACTCATTGTTCATCATTGGAAGGTGGCCATGTGCCACCGGATTACCCCACCCCCATCACCACCACCCTTTTGGCAAACCGAGAAAATATCTACAAGAGTACACTGGGGATCGAGGGAGAGACAATTCGTAAAGTGTATCAGAAATGAATTTTTCTTGGACCCAATTTTTCTGTACCTTCTATGTATGAAAATTATTTAACATCCCTTTTCGATTAAATGCATTGTCCTCGCTTTCCTAAACAACTAAGGGCACTGTTGCTGTGAAGTCATCCAGAGAAGGTTTTTCTGTTAAAATTGTGAACTCCAAATTAAATCACTGACAGAAATAATTTTGAAAAAGGGTTGCATGCTTGCTTATTGCTATAGACTAATACAACAATGAATCACCGAAGAAAAGAAAATTGAAGCTAGCAAAATCTTTAAAAAATCAGCAGTTTTGTTGTGCACAAAATAGTGCGACACTGAGATTCTCTTCCCGGGATGACATCACAGTCTTGCTCATGAATATGGATATTCTCCCTAGCATGAAACCAAGAAGGCATTAAATACTCTTTAAAAGAGTGAAACAAAAATTGAAAAATAAGGACGAGTGAGACACAAAAGTTCATTTTGAGGTTTCTGTTTTTAAAACTTGCATTGCAGGTACCCCTCTAAATGTGAATCCCAGTTAAAATTCCTTGTAAATTAATGACACTGGGAACTGTAACAGTTACATTGTAACAATGTGTTCAATTATGCAAATAGTAATTAGGATGATTAACTAAAACGCAAATATGACAAACAGGGCAACCCAGTCCACCCCTTCTGTGCTTTTTCGACATTTTCTGCTGTGGTTTTGGAAAACCAGATGACATCATCATGATCATTCTCCTTCATCTCATTACTGAGTTCTGAATCCCATAACATTGCGATGATTTCACTGGGGATTTTCCTTCAAACATACCGGGGAAGTGTACTTTCTAGTTTGATATACTGATAATGTTAACATACGCCATATGAGTAAATTTAAATAAATGGAAAATGTTGACATTGCGACAAAGCACAGCGGTCATGATGATGGAAGAAACATGGAAAAGATTACGCTAAATGAGCTTTTGATATCATCCACGGGCCTGATTTTATGGCCAGTCTAAAATTACCTGGCGAGATATTCATGGTTCACTTTTCCAACGATCAAAGGACTCGGACGCCCGAAAAGACACGACACAAAATGCAAATGTCGGTCTGTCCAAGCCCGTTACTTCCTTCCTTCAATCTCCTGGTCAATACGATTGCAGAAATCAAACAGACCAAAGTGACCTCATCTTTGACTTTCTTTTTCTTCTCTCTCTCTTTTGCGGGCAAAGTTCTCCGTGGAATGCAGTTGGTCGATATAGAGCTGATTAATGATTCTCTGGTTACATCCTCATTTCGTGCGGGAACTACAAAGATATTCCGGAGGTTTAATTAAATGCTATTTTCTGCATCTAAGAGTGAAATAACGATTCTCAATCAGTTGTAACTCTGGGGTTCAAATTAGACGTCAAAACCAGCCTTCTCTGCATACTGACAAATGCCCGCACATAATGACAAAGCAATGTCTTCTTATTCACGCGATAGACCTTGTCGTCGTTCGCACTGCATCATGGGACTGAATAACAAAACTAGCAATGTGTCTTCTGCACTCACACCATGCACTATGGATGAAGTACCAGTAGGATACTGATCAGTTCCCACTTTATTAAATCTTCCAAATCAAGTCATCTTTTTGATGTTGCACTGAACATTTTAAATACATTTAAAATAATTAAATTTAGAAGCTTATCAAAAAGGTTTGAAATCCCTTCTACGTACGTGGAACTATGACTGTCAGTGAACTGTATCAAAATCAGGATTTCAGTCTTAGATCCCGTATTAACCGGTCATATTCATTTCTTTCGCCGTGGTAGCTTGTACTCTTGTAAAAAGGATATCTTAAAACAATCATTTTATAGGCTTGAATTTTTTGGAACTGTTTCACGAAATATTCTTACTAATGCATCTATTTGTGACTTGATGAGCAGAAAGATTAATTGAAACTGTGCTCCCAAAACCATTCCGTGAAATATGCATTCTTAGATGCATGGGAGTGTCTAACTACATTATGATTACTGGAAGATTTGTCTTGCTTTCGTACTCTCATTTTTTTTCTAATTTGGCCCCGCAAACCAAGGCATAACCTTTTTTATGAATGATTTAGATTTATTTCTCAATGAATCTGTTGTCGAATCTCGAATCGTTAAAGTTTTAAATGTGGAAGGGCACGCCTAGTTTTCAACGATAGTCGACTTTTATGTAATAGATAAAGCAAATCCCTTCTAGCTAGGACGTCCGTTCCTTTGGTCGAGTTTTCAGTTGTTTATCTCCATTTTAATGGGAAAAAGAGTCTAGGATGCGACTGAATGAAATTGTCAGTCGTATCTTAGATTGTTGACAAGTCTCAGGATGTATATCCAG